GGGTCGGTGCCCCGCCTCGCCTCGGTTGCCATAAGAACAGAAGACGGACAGCAAAGTGACAGCGCTAGCCTACGAGCACGCTAGCTAACCGTGCGCTAAATCACACATGAACGATAAATAGCCGAGCCAGGCGAAAACAGCGAGCCGAGCGAGACACCCGAATAACCACACTAAGCTAAAAAAAACAGAATCTTGAAAATATCGTTTTAAAAATGACACAGACAGGCGGCGAGCCTGCGTCATGATTATCATCCCTTTGCCTTTGCCTTCCTTCCCTTGGACGTCGATGCATCAATGAAACGATCAAGTACTCACCTCAACACGCACACACAGTCCAACTGCGAAGCACACCCACGGCAGCGGTTCGAGAGCAGCCGGCGACGACGAGCCGCCCTCCTCCGTGATTTTGGAAAAGGTCGCGACAAATATTACAAAGGCTAATGAATATAACGCTGGGTCGGGGTAAAAAAAAAGCGACAGGGCTTATCTCATCCTTGCGGGTCTCTGCTCTTCTCTTCAGTGGCCAAGTGACGCCACGTCGGAATTGCGCGCGCAGTCTCCACACTGGCCACTCCCCCTCTCCCCCAATAAATTCAATCGACTTTCCCCACCTCAAAAATATTTGACCTTTAGCGAAAAAAAAAAAACCCGAACACAAATGGCTTATTTCGAGAAAACATTTGGCTTTTTAACATAAAAGGTTATTATTCTACCTCTAGCTAAAAATAAATATACTTAAAAACGTGACTTTTTCGTCAAAACCACAGAAATTATTTCTTGAAAAAAAATGTGTCTGTTCTCTAAATTATTCAACTTTTTCTCCTAAAAGATTTCCTAAAAATATCCACCTTATTTGTCTTGTCAAATACGCAGTCGTGATGTGTGTGTGTGGGGGGTGGGATCCCCCAGGGTCCCTCCCTATCTGTCTCCCACAGCCTCAGGCCCACCAGGCAGAGGTGGGAAGGGGTGTGGGGGGAGGTGCTTTAATGCATTCTATTGAGAAGGTGGGGCTCGCTGGTGGGCTTGCAACCATGGGGCCCAAAAAGGTAACGCGGGGCCCTCTTCCCATGGGCTCACCACCTGCGGGAGGGGCCAAAGGGGTCAGGTGCCCTGTGAACTGGGTGGCGGCGGAAGGCAGGGACCTTGGCGGTCTGATCCCAGGCTACAGAAACTAAATCTAAGGCTATGGATTGTCACCCCTCTGACAGGGAAGGAGGCCGAGCTGGTGCGGGAGGCAGAGAAGTGTCTGTACGTTGGGGGTCACCCCCCCACCCCCCCTTTGGGTCGGGGCACGGGTTCTGACTCTTGGTTGTGCCGATGCACCAAGCAGCAGTTCAGAGTCGCCACCCTTTTTGGAGGATGCGCTAGCGAGCGCACCCCCTGGGGGATTTTATTGTTCTGATGGGGGGACTTCAAATTTAGTCTTTTGATGGCTTTCAACTCGAGGTATCTCGCGGTCTCCCTCCAGTGGCCAAAAGTAACATTAGCATGACACTGAACGCGAGGTGATGTTTTTCATCACATTTATTTCTCCTTTTGTCAGCTACACGTTTGCACTCCACCACGTCGTTTACTAACAAAATAAATACAAGACCAAGGTTTTTTTTTCTCCAGAGCTCAAAAATGTACATCACTTTAAAGTCCATGTAAACACGTTTCGGATTCTTTCTTTGTACACATTATTCACCCAACGCTCATTCCATTTACATCTCTGTACAAAACTAAATACATCCACAAGGTGGCAGTGTAGTCCAAATTGATCCAGTACCACGTCAAAACGCACCCTCGCCACTGTTGGAGTACGAGAAAGTATAGCAAAAAACAAACAAAAAAAGTCACAAAAATCACTTTATCAGTGCTAAAAAAAAAAAAAGTTGGAATGACATAAAATTATTTGTGTACCCTGTTAGCATCTTCGCTACGAGAACGTGTATTATTTATACACATACACACACACACATACACACACACACGACAAGTTAGTGAGGGAAGGTTTTAAGGCCAAGCGGACTGTCCAAAGGGGCAACATTTGCATAAAGTTCCTTTTTTTTTTTTTGGACGATACAAAGGATGACGTAGCCTGTCATACTCAGTCAGTGTCTATTTTTTACAAAGTGTCGTTTTATAAAACAATAGAGATCTGGATAAAATAGACTTTGATTTTATTGCATAAGAGGGGAGGAAGGGGGCGGGGGGGGTGGGGGTTGCGTCACCACATTAGCGTCCAACCTGGCTCCGACATGCGTAACACTTACTCAACCGTTTCCAAACATTCTTAAAAAAACACGCCAAGTCACCCAAATCCCCAAAAAACAGCACATTTTGTTGATTTGTTTTTCTTGAGAAAAACAAACAAACAAACAAACAAACCAAAAACAAAAGCAAACAACTTGCTTACCGTCATTTCAACTCATCCCTCGCCTTTTTCTCCTTATGTAAATTGACTTGCTGTCCACCTCGGCGCATAACATCAACTTTGTTTTTAACCGATGTTGTGATAAATACATGAAAAACAAATCTCGTCGTTTTAAAAATATCTCAAGAGTGGTTTATGCCAGGCGGGTCCGACTTGTGACGTATTCACAGAATACATATGTCAGCATCTTCTCATGTCTGGATGCCACCAAGGAGAATTACAGAGAAACAATGAGAAGAAAAGCATTACGCAAGAAAAAAGAAAAAGTCATGTTTTCGGAGATTGAACTGATTTTTAGTTTGGAGGAAGAATTCAATACATGTGTCAAACTTTTTTTTTCCCAACTTTTGTTTATGAAGTTTTTTTTTCTTGCAAACGTTCTGGGTTAAAAATATACAAGTGTATTTTTTTTTTTGGTCATAAAAATGTTGCCCAACCTCCTCTAAAATGTACTTTTCTATTCTCATTTTAATTTTTTTTTTCCTGCGGGGGATGACAAACAAAATTAACTCAAACTATTTTCCATTGAAAATATATTGCTGGAAAAAAATAATTTTCTGTAAAATATGTATTATTTATTATTATTAGAAACATTTTTTCTTTGTGACAATATCTGACACTGATGTGTTACGTACAGTGAGGGAAGACGAAGACTGTTTTTTGTCAGGCAAATCGTGGGCGCGGCGTGACCGGTTCGTCGTCGTGGGGGCTCCCGTCGGAATTCTCGGCCTCGCCCTCGGAGATGGCCTGCATGGGCGCCGAGAAGAAGCGCGCGCGCGCGGCATAGCGGCTGCTGTTGGCGGGAGGCGGGACCCTGGCGCGGCCCAGCCTGGATTGGGGCGACGTCCAGGGTTTGGGCAAAAGGAAGCCCTCGGCGTCGGGCGACCTGGCCGCCACCGCCGCTTCGGCCGTTTCCACCGCCGCCTCGTCCTCTCCCGCCGCGGAACCTTTGGGGGTCACGGGGCTCTTAAGTATTTCGGTGGCCGACATGCGGTAGCTGGACTCGGAGCGGCTGCCCTTCTTGAGCAGGAGCAGCTTGAACTCCTCATTGGAGGTGCTGGACTTCTTGGCGTTCCTGTAGATGGGGCCGGGGGTCCTTTGAGGGCCCGAGGGCGCCGACGAGGGCGACGCAGAGGCAGGACACGGGGAGAAGGGGGCAGCGCCGCCACCGGGGGGCGGCGGCGTGCCGTTAATGGACGACGGGCCGTTCCGAACAGACAGCTCACCGGAGTTCTTCCTGCCCAACACTTTCCTCTTTGACCTGAACGAACACAAAACACCTCCGGTTTGACCTATGATGTGGTATGCGTTGGATTACATCGTCAAAAGTCAGATATTCTTCAAGATTGCAAGTGATAATTTTACGGTTATGAAGTCATTTTTGTTCTTGAAAAAAAATGTTGAATTTTATACATTATAAATGGAACTTTTTTTTAAATAGAGGAACTTATTGAGTTGTGACGTAACTTTGGAAAATAAAGCAAAAATAAAAATGAACATTTTAATTTTAATTTGAAAATATAAAAACTTTCTTGAAAGTTGGTCATCTTAATTGATGGATAGACCATCCATTAAAGTTTAAATCCTTCAAAAAAGTTGATACAAAATCTAGAATAAAAACAATGGGAATCGGTGGAATTTTAGAGAAAGAAATGTAAAGCATTTTATTCTGGTACTATGACTACAGCAATAACTATACAGTATTTTCAAAAATAACAAACACTATCATGTAAAAAAAAATTCAGAGAAAAAATATTTCTTTGAAAGTACAAAAATATAGGATTAAAATTCTATTTTTTGTCTTTTCATCCCAAAATATCCACAAAATGTTTTCATGTTGGATTACAATTCAAATCTGAAACGTCTGATGCTTTTCACCGGACAAAATAAGCGGGGTTTTTTTTATCTTGTGCAATGACGGAAACATTTTGATGAATATTCTTCTAGTGACAAAACATTCTCTCATTTTTTTCCCTTGAAAATCGAAGAAAAAAAAATTGTCAAAGAAAAAAAAAAATTTCGATCTCATTCTGGGAAATAAAAGACTTCTCTGGAAAAGATCCAACTGTTTTGTGGTTAAATCTTCACGCGTCCATGTAGAGCTGGATGTTGTGAGTCGAGCGTTGAGTTGTCGCAAGCGGGCGCTCACCTGTGGATGACGGCGAACAGGTCGTCGGTGGTTCGACTTTTGGTGGGCGACAGGAAGATGCCGTCGTCCTCCGCATGCGATTCGTCGCTCGCTGCCACCAAGTCTGCTCGGACACAATTTCCATTTATATATTTTAGAGAAATACAGCGGTGTATTTTCAAGATCATGTGTACATTTCTCCAAAAAGATTTTTTTTTTCAAAACGTTTTTATAGACAAAAAAACCTGTCGAATCCTACTTTTTTTAGATTGATACCAGTCAGAGTATTTCAACACTGTGATTGGTTAGTAGGTTAAATATTTTATATTAGTTATTTTTCAAGGGGGATTGGGGGGAGTATCAAGAGTAACAAGAGTTCTATTTTCAAAATACAAGTCTCAATAGTTTTGGGATGAAAAGTTGTAAATTTTCATGATTTTTTTCTTTCATGAAAAGTCATATATTTGAGAAATTAATTTTCACCAAAAAAGATGGATACAATAAAAATTTGTCATCGTTTTGTGGAAAAATGTTTAGTTGACAAAAAAGTGGAATATCATCAAGATAAAGTTAGAAATAGTTATTAAATATACTCTTATACATTCATTCATTTATGATTTTTTTTTTAAGAAGCATTAATATCATGTTGCTCTCCTTGCATGCAATTTCCTGTAATCTCTGTTACTGAAAGTTAAAAGGTGATGTTATTTTATCCTACAACATATTTTTGCTAAATAACCCTCCTTGTAAAATGTCAACTTCATCCCCATCCCATTCCCTCTTTTTTCGAGTCGCTGTGCAAATCTCCTGGCGACGATCATCCGAGACCTTTGCCGTACCTTTGCTCAGGTTCTCCTCGGCGGTGGATTCGCCTTCCTCGTTTCCTGCCGGATCTCCCGCTGACTCCGCGTCTTGGTTTCCTTCATGGCTTCCCGGACTGGCGGCGGGCGTTTGATCCAAACCGGGAGGTGGACTTGGCGTTGAGGGACAGCGATCTCGGTCAGGTGGCGGGAGAGAAGATTCTGCGTCTTCCTCCGCCTCTTCATCTGGCGGCGGCGGCGGCGGCGGCGGCGGCGGCGACGGCTAGGGGGTGGTCTCGCCGTTGACGAGCTCCTCGTGGGAGGAGACCGGCAGCCGGAGATTATCCGAGTCTTGCCTCGTAAGTTCCGACGAAGCTCGGGTGTCAACGACACGGTCGGAGTTGACGGCGGAATAGTCGTCGCGGTGAGGGGCGGGGTCGAGTTCCTTGGGGATGGATCGCAGCTGGACGGCGTGCAGAGCGGCGGGGGTGATGCTCAGGGAAGGTCCGTTCGCTGTCTCAGCTTTGGCCCAATCGGCTTTTCGCTGATGATTTTGGATCGGCGCCCGCTCGTCGCCGACGCAGTGAAAGGCACTTAAGTCCGGGTGGGACGAGGGGACGGCGGGCAACTCCGGGTCCCGCTTGCAGGCCAGTGACGACTTCCTTTCCGGTACTTTGGGTTTCCGCTTCGCGCTGGACGGCGACAGCGGGCCGGGGAAGAAGGCGGCGGCGGGGAAGACGGAAGTCGGGGTCTCGGACTGGCTGGAGTAGCCGCTGGAGGGGCTGGCCAGGCCCGCCAGCTTGAAGTCGCCCTCGGCGGGCGTCAGCGACGGCGTGGTGGCCCCGGAGCCCGACTGGGACGCCTGCGACTCGGAGCCGTCCTGCGACTTGACGCACTCCACCACCGTGGTGCCGGTGGCCGTGCTGGAGTTGGACAAAGAGCGGTAAGGGTCGCCGGATTTCAAGTCGTTCAGGAGCCACAGGTCCGCGTAGTCCGCCTGGACCGCGCCCTCGTCCTTGAAGGAATGCGCGTCGGCGGAGCTGAAGACGCCCAAATCGGGGCCGTCGAAAGATCCCTCCGCCCCCCAGACAACGGGCGGCGGCTCTTTGGCGATGCGACCCGACGAGTCGGACAGGAGCAGCTGCAGGTTTTTCTCCTTGGGAAGCGGCGACTTTGCTTCCGCGAGAACCGAGACGCCCCCTTCGTCGTGGATCGTCCGCAGGGACGAGCTGCGCCTGGGCGGGCGAGGTTTGGCCTTGGGTTTCCTCAAGGACAGGCAGCGTCGCTCCAGAGTCACGTGGTCCGGGTAGATGGACGTGAAGCTCCTGCTGCCTTTCAGCCCGCAGTCAAAGTGCATGGAGGTGTAGTAACCTTCCGTGTCCTCCGAGTAGTGCGACGCCGTGTCGGCTTTCTCCGAGGGCGGCTTGTCGGAGAAGCTGCTTTCGCACGTGGCCATGCTGGCGAAACTCGGGCAGCCCAGGCTGCTCTCGGCCTCCCTGCCGGGCTCGGGGCTGAAGTCCCGAGTCCGACGGCCGGGATCCGGGTGCGGATAGTTCCACTCGCCCTCCCCGGGAGCGCCCGCTTCCTCCAGGATGTCCATCGCGGCGGAGGAGAAGGAGCCCGCCCTCTGCGTTCTGAGCCCGCTGAAGGGATCCAGCGTGAAGCCGCCGGCGTGGTCGGCGGCGGCGGCGTTCAGCGAGAGCTCGGAGTCGCAGCGGGCCAGCGGAGACGTCCCCGGGGCGACGGTCTCCGAGGTCTGCGAGGGGCACGTGGAGCTGCTGCCGCTCCAGTTGCCGCTGGAGGACTGGTGCTCGTCTTTGTGGTCCGCGGGACCCCCCAAAACGCCGGCGGCCGACACGGAGTGCACGGGGCTGCCGAACGTGTCCGAGCTGGACGACATGTCGCAGCTGCCCATGTCGGCCATGCGGGGCAGCTGCGAGCGCGCCCGCTCCGCCCAGCCCCTCTCGGGCGTCCTCGACAGCCGCTCCGAGCCGGCGCGCTCCTCCGCGCTTTCCTCCTCGTCCTTCAGGAGACGCCCCTCCTCGCCGTTGAAAGCGGAAAGCTCCGCCTCATCCTCCTCGTCGGCCGTCCTGGCCCGGCCGCCGTCTCGGGGGAGACTGCGCGTCCGCAGCCGGCCGTCCGACGCGTCGCCGCGGCCCTCCCGCAGGGCGGCGATGTCGCCCGCCGACTGGGAGAGGCACAGCGCCGCCCCCTGGTGGCCGCGCTGGGCGCGGATTCTCCTGCTGGAAGGCGCCCCCAAGATCAAGAAGTCATCGGTCTGGCAACCCGAGTCTCTGGTAAGCAGATGGCCGACCAGGTCGCCGTTGTCCAAGCTGGCGTGGACGATGACGCTGCGTTCGCGGGAGCCGGGCGACTCGTCCGAGTCTGACGGGACAAACGCACGCACACAAGTGATCAGCGCTTTGTGCAAAAATTACTACATCAAAAAATCCATTTGAAAAAAGTGGATGAAAGTCAATGATAAGAAATGAAAAATTCAATGACGTACAAATTCAAAGTTGGAAATAAAATAAAATGGTGTCTCTTTGTGATTGGTCGCGGTGGAATGCATCCGCCGCGATGATGAAGTGGCGATTGAAGCATTGCGAGGCGTGCCGGCGTACCTGCGGCGAAGTCCTGAAGTTGCCTGGGGACGCCGGCCACCGTCCTGCGCCGCCTCAGCTTCCTCCTGCGCTGCAGCAGCGACTGCGAGAGGACCAGCGAGCAGCGCACACTGGCGTCTCTGTCGAAGCCCACGCCTGCAAAAACACAAGGGGAGGGGCCGGGATG